TATAGGATCTTATAGGAACTTATAGGATCTTATAGGAACTTATAGGAACTTATAGGATCTAGCCAGGAAATAGTTTATGCATGCATGTACAAAAAGGCAACTTGAGGTAAGTTTTATTAATGTTGGATAAGTTTCAAAGTTAGAATTAAATCCTGCTAACACAAAACATGTTTTTATTTATTTCTAGCTTCAGAGTCAGAGAGTATTATTGTCATACACACCACATGTGGTACACGTGGTGGAACAAGATCATGTACACAGGGTCTCGGTTACATCCCACAATAAAATGTAAAAGACAAACGGCAATAAGATCTAAAATATGAACTAAGAAAAACATCAACTAAATATAAACCAAGCACTAATGGCATAAAAACATTAAAAACAATACACCACAGTGGATATTAAAGTGATTAAATGGCTTCAAACATCTGCTAAGTTCATGGCAAAAACCAACAAAGACATGTTCCTGTTTTTAGTATTTTACATCGCTTTATAATGTAGCTGTTTTTTAATTTAATTTTATTTTTTATAAATTTTTCTTTTATTTTTCAAATCATAGTTTTTTATGATTGTCTACTGATGTAGTGATGAATATCGCCTGGAGGGTAAACGTAACTATATCTTGGCTGCAAATATTCAGTCAAGCTGTGAAGCCGTCAGTCTGATTTCAGTCAGCCGCGCTCAGTCTGTCCCTCCTCCGAGACAGGCACACTGAGCACTGACTGCAATCAGACTGACTGCTTCGGACTGAACGAGAGGAACACACCGCTGGAGCCACGGAGATCGAATGTCCAACGTAAAACTAACTTTACCGCGGTGCCTGGCTAAACAATCCTCATGCTCTTTAATGTGGTGCTTTTTCAAATGTTCATTAAGTTCGATGTTTTGTAGGTCGCGACCGAGCTTCCTGCTCTCGGTACAGCAGCTCTGCAGACACTGCACATTGCTGTCATGCAGTGTTTAGTGTAAAATACAGTGAGGAAAATTAGTATTTGAACACCCTGCGTCTGTGCAAGTTCTCCCACTTAGAAATCATGGAGGGGTCTGACATTTACATGTTAGGTGCATGTCCACTGTGAGAGATGTCATCTAAAAATAAATAATCCAGAAATCACAATGTATGATTTTTAAAATAATTTATTTGTGTTTTACTGCTGCAAATAAGTATTGAACACATGTGAAAATCATTGTTAATATTTGTACAGTATCTTTGTTTGCAGTTACAGAGGTCCAATGTTTCCTGTAGTTTTTCACCAGGTTCACTGCAGCAGAGAGTTTGGTCCATTCCTCCACAGATCTTCTCTAGATCAGCAGGTTTCTGGGCTGTCACTGAGAAACATGGAGTTTGAGTTCCCTCCAAAGATTTTCTATAGGGTTTAGGTCTGGAGACTGGCTAGTCCTCTCCAGAACCTTGATATGCTTCTTATGGAGCCACTCCTTGGTTCTCCTGGCTGTGTGCTTCGGATCATTGTCATGTTGGAAGATCCAGCCACGACCCATCTTCAATGTTCTGAGGGAAGGAGGTTCTTCCCCAAAACCTCACAATACATGGCCCTGGTCATCCTCTCCTTAATACAGTGCAGTCGTCCTGTCACGTGCAGAAAAACACCCCAAAGCATGATGCTTCCACCCCCATGCTTCACAGTAGGGATGGTGTTTTTGGGATGGTACTCTTCATTCTTCATCCTCCAACATGTCAAGTGGAATTAAAACAAAAAGTTCTATTTTGGTCTCATCTGACCATAGAACTTTCTCCCATGACTCCTCTGGATCATCCAAATGGTCATGGTCAAACTTAAGACGGGTCTGGACGTGTGCTGGTTTAACCAGGGGAACCTTCCGTGCCATGCATGATTTTAAACTATGACGTCTTAGTGTGTTACCCACAGTAACCATGGAAACAGTGGTGCCAGCTCTCTTCAGGTCATTGAGCAGCTCCTCCCGTGTAGTTCTGGGCTGGTTCCTCACCTTTCTTAGGATCATTGATACGCCACGAGGTGAGATCTTGCATGGAGCCCCAGTCCGAGGGAGATTGACAGTCATGTTTAGCTTCTTCCATTTTCTAATAATTGCTCCAACAGTTGATCTTTTTTCATCAAGCTGCTTGGCAATTGCCCCGTAGTCCTTTCCAGCCTTGTGGAGGTCTACAATTTTGTCTCTGGTGTCTTTGGACAGCTCTTTGGTCTTAGCCATGTTAGTAGTTGGAGTCTTACTGACTGTGTGGGGTGGACCGGTGTCTTTATGCAGCTACCGACCTCAAACAGGTGCTTCTAATTTAGAATAATCAGTGGAGTGGAGGTGGACTTTATAGAGGAGGACTAACAGGTCTTTGGGGGCCAGAATTGTTGCTGATTGGCAGGTGTTCAAATACTTGTTTGCAGCAGTAACACACAAATAAATTATTTAAAAAAATCATACATTATGATTTCAGGATATTTTTTTATATTGTGTCTCTCACAGTGGACATGCACCTAAGATGAAAATTTCAAACCCCTCCATGATTTCTAAGTGGGAGAACTTGCAAAGTCGCAGTTCAAATACTTATTTTCCTCAATGTACTTCCACACACAGCGGACATGTTACGATGAAAAGTTGGTTAGCCGTTAGCCATAGTGCTGCTCTCAGTCCTCAGCTGTATAAAAAGAGTATTTACTCACGTTTTAGCTGGCTGCAAACTGAAATGGATCCACACAGACACAGACGTGCATCATGGATCGGAAAAATCTGCTACGTAAATTATGCTGGTATCAGATGCTGATACCAGATCGGATCGGCCCCATCCCTAATTCAGATGCATTATAAAAGCCAATTAGTAAAAAATATCTTAAGGAAGAAGCAGACTGTGTCATATCTTCACTTTGTCACAACCTCCCACCGTGAACAGCAAACAGGTGAGGGTGGGAAGAAATGACTTCCTTTTAACAGGAAGAAACCTCCAGCAGAACCAGACTGCAGGTCAGTGAGGACAAGAAAGAGACGAACACGGAGTAGCTGATCCAGGTGTATTGTCTGGATTATGGAGCATGGACTTTGTTGATCCAGGTGTAGTTTCTGTGTGGAGAGTGCAAAGAACATGTCAACAATAGAAATAATGACAAAAACAAATGCAGAGTAGAACGTGTAAAGACAGCAGCAGAGAGAGGAGATGTGGTCAGTTTGTCCTCCAGCATTTGTTAAGCCTATAGCAGCAGAACTAAGGGATTGTTTAGGAAACCCAAGCCAACCCTAACTATAGGATTTATCATAAAGGAAAGACTTCAGCCCAGTCTTAAACTGGACAACGTGTCAGCCTCACAGTCAGAAACTGGAAGTTGGTTCCACAAGAGAGGAGCCTGATAACTGAAAGATCTTCCTCCCATTCTGCTTTGAACCACAAGTAAACCTGCAGTCTGAGAGCGAAGTGCTCTGTTAGGAAAATATGGAACAATAAGCTCTGTAATATAAGATGGAGCTAGGTTGTTGAGAGCTTTGTAGGTTAGAAGTAAGATTTTGAATTAAATTCTGGATTTGACAGGGAGCCAATGGAGAGAAACTAAAACTGGAGAGAGATGATCTCTCCCACTAACTCCAGTTAAGACTCTGGCAGCAGCCTTTTGGATCAATTGAAGATGTTTTAAGGAAGTATTTGGACACCCAGGTAATAAACCATTGCAATAGTCCAGTCTAGACGTGACAAATGCATGAACCAGTTTTTCTGCATCATTTTTAGTTGTTTCTAATTTTAGAGATATTACGCAGGTGGAAGAAGGCAGTTCTAGTAATATTTTTAATGTGGGGGATAAAAGACATGACCTGATGAAAAATAACACCAAGATTTTTAACATTAGAGCTGGAGGACAGATTAATGCCATCTAAGGAGGGAAAAAGACTGAAAATTTATTTCTAAGAGGCTCAGGTCCAAAAACTAAAACCTCAGTCTTGTCTGTGTTCAACAGGAGAAAATTAAGGGTCATCCAGGTTTTTATGTCTTTAAGACATGCTTGTAGTCTAAGTAGCTGATTGGACTCATTTGGTTTAATGGACACATATAATTGTGTATCATCAGCATAACAATGAACATTTATCCCATGCTGTTTAATAACTTTACCTAATGGAAGCATATAGTATACATTAATGTTGTCTGTTTTATATGTTGAAGGTTTTCTATTCTGTGCTTTTCCTCCTTTTGCAGGGAGGCGGCCCAAAGAAGAAGAAAAAGGACCGGATGCAGGATCTCATCGACATCGGTTATGGCTACGATGAGACCGACCCCTTCATAGATAATTCAGAGGCCGTGAGTTTACACACGATTGTTGACTCTGCTTCTTTTTTTAGGTGGAAGTCAATAAAACGGCAAATAAAAATCAGTTCAGCTTCAGTTCTTTCATGGAGACATAGTGAGCTGGAACGAAGCTAAATGTGATGTTCTGTCCACCTCAGTACGATGAGCTGGTGCCGGCATCTCTCACCACAAAGCACGGCGGCTTCTACATCAACACGGGCACTCTGCAGTTCAGGCCTGCGTCGGACTCTGAGGGGGACAACACGAACACCGAGGATCACCACTTCAAGGTCCGCTCAGTCCGTTCTGAGATTGACAGTTTTTTTTAAATAAAACTGTACATGTGGATTAATTCACAGTTGGCTGCGATGCTTAACGCCAATAGTTTACATTTCTTACGTGTTTCTAGAAGATGAAAGATGGTGAAGAGCGAGTGATGAAGAAACGACGGAAAAAGCAAGATGGTGGCATTCTAGAGGACAAGAAACCCAGAAAAAACAAACTACCAAAGCCTGGGTGAGTTTACTGAGAGGCTGATGGCTTTTTTTATTCACACAAGGGCTTTAATAATAATAATAAAAATAAGAATGCATTTTATTTGTTGGTGCCTTCCAAGACACTCGAGGAGACTTTCCAGCATTAGAAACCATGCAGTACAAAACCACAACATTAAAGCACGGGCTAAAGATTAAAAACGAGACGTGGAGGGCTTGATGTCTGAATGAGGTCGGAATTGAACTGGCGACCCTCTGATCACAGGCCCACCCTCTCAAACCTCCATTCCACCACCCCCACAAAATGTACTTAAAACAGTAGTCCCTCGTTTATCACAGGGTTTAGGGACCACGCCCCCTGCAATAAGTGAAAAACTGCAAAGCAGGGATAGTGGGGTGTCAGGCTCGCTTAGAAAAGGGTCAAAATGAAAACGTTTCTCAAACTAAAGGCCAGTTTCAGAATCTACGTTAAGTCAAGTTGGATGCTCAACATCTTTTCTTGGTTGCAGGTTCCTCAAAAATAGTTTGATTGGTCTCATTTGACGTTGTCTGTTACACTTTTGACATCATAAACAAAGTTTACTGAAAAAATTAAAGTGACAAAGTATTTTACGTTTAACATATCCTCTTGGGGGCCAGATAAGATGTCAACAAGGTCAAATCTTCACTTTTTGTGTAAAATAAGTTTTTCATGTTGCTATAACATGAGTAAATTGTTCTTTTTTTTTTTTTTTTTTTTTTTTTTTTGTCCATCCAGCACCAGTTGTAACATTTTTTAAATCTGTACTGTAATAAATTCACTCTATATTTCATAATTAATCCAGTAAATGTAGAGTGAACTGTTAAATGATAACCCGGTCCTGACTGCTGACGCTCCGGCACACCTTTTTATACCTGTTGTTTTGTTGACATCGACTTCCTCTGAAGTTCAGCTGCACGAATATGTTTAAAAAGGTTTTATCAGATTATAAAAATAGAAACTACAAGTTTGATGACATTCCCAGCCCTGTGTGGGATGTAATCCATGTTCACTCAGTAATTCTGTGTTTGTTCTGCACGTTTTTTTTTGTTCTGGCAGAGTTTCGGCTCTGAACGTTCACCGCCCAGAGAAGAAAAAGAGGAAGAAGCTGATGAAGGACTCGCTGCACCTCGCCAACATGCTTCGCCGCTTCACCCGCGAGAAAGAGGAGATGCGCAAGAAGAACATGGCTGCCGCTGGCGGCCTGCCACGACCCAACGCCAAAGTGCCCAGCGTCGTCAGCGCGCCCGTCAGCGCCCACCTCAAGGTCGGCGGCGGCAGCGACAACAACGTGTCGGACCTGACCGACGACCAGGCTGTGATGTCACTGCTGGGCTCCGCCAACAACGACCTGCTGCAGGACATGATGGGCGACCTGGACTTCGGGATGCTGGATTCGCCTCAGCCCGGCAGTCCCACGCAGGGAGAGAACGGGTCGTTCGGGCATAAAAGTGGCGGCGGTCGAGCAGTTCAAGCTAACATGATGCCGCCGCCTCCTCTCCCCGGTGGTCTGCCAGGCCCGCTCGCAAAGCGCATCGAAGACCTGCGAGCGGTGAGGACTTCACTCCTTCCCAACATCCCAGCTGTGTGCGAACGCCACACGCATCCTCATCTTCTTCCTCTTTCTGCAGGCGTCCCGTCTGTTCGATGAAGAGGGCAGGAAGAAGTTCTTCACACTGGACATGAACAACATCTTGCTGGAGTCGGTACCATTGAGTTTGCGTTTACAGGCCAGCGTTGCAGCAGCAGAGTGCTAACCGCTGTTCTTCTGTGTCCACCAGCATCGAGCTGCAGGTTCAGGAGCAGCCCGCGGAGGTGCGCTCAGCCGTCTACTCCCACCTGGAGGCCTTCGTGCCCTGCAATAAAGAAGCTCTGCTCAAACGCCTCAAGAAGCTCAGCCTCAACGTTCAGGTCTGTGCTGCAGTTTGCTGTGGTAGTAGCTGAGAGTCAGCAATTATTCCAGTGTGTGCCATCCGGCAATATTGTTTGAAATTGTGCGTAACAGTATTTTAAACACATTTATCTCTATTCTGACCGTATTATATTTGTTCAGACTCGACAGTTGGTTTGTCTTTGGCCCATGGAAACAGTAACTGAACATTTAAACACTTTACGTAAAGTTTATAATCTAAACACGTTCTGGGTTTAATAAAGGAGGAAACACAAACAACGACTGCCAACAATTTACTCAAGAATTGTTATTAAATTAAACAATAGAAATTGCATTTCCTGTGAAAATGTATTGTGAATGCTTATTGCTGAAGAACTTGATGAAAAACAGCTGAAATTTACTAAAAAACATGCTGAATTTTAGCTGAAAAGGAAGAACAAGCCTAAATTAGCAGAAGAAAGCAGAAAGAACACGTTTGCTGAATTAGGTTTAAATAAGCACAGAAATTATGAAATTAGTTAAAAAAAAGGCTGAAATTAGCAAATAGCTGAAAAGTAGCTGCAAAGGCAGAAAAAGGCTGAAACTACCAGAAGGAAGCAGAAAGAGCTGAAATGAGCTAAAAAAAAGTGGAATTAGCTGAAAACAATAAAAATCGCATAAAACAGCTAAATACGAACTGAAATGACTAAAACTAGCAGAAAAACGTTGACAGGAACATAAACTGAAATAATTAGAAGTTAATTAGACTGAAAGTAGCTGGAATTATCACAAAAAAACTTGAATTTATCTGAAGAGAGGTGAAATTAGCTAAAAAATTAAAAATAAAGGTAGCTGAAAATGTAAAACAAGCTTAAATTAACAGAAGAAAGCAGAAATAACATGTTTGCCCAATTAGACTGAAAGAAGCAGAAATGTAAACAGGAAAAGTAGAAATTATCTGAAAAAAACAAACTAACATTAGCAAATAAACAGCTGAATGTTAGCTAAAAAAGCAGAAAGAAGCTTAAATTACCAGAAGGAAGTGTAGAGAGCACATTTTGCTGAATTAGGTTGAAAAAAAATTACATGAGTGCAAAAAATGTGGAATTAGTTGGAAAAGCTAAAATTAGCATAAACAGCTTAATAGTAGCTGAAATAGCAGAAAAGGCTGAAACTTGTATAAATGAGCTGAAAGGAGCATAACAAGCTGAAATTAGCAGAAAGAAGCTGAAAGGATCACAAAACAGCTGAAATTAGCAGAAAAATAGTTTAAATTTGCACAAGGAAGCTGAAAGAAGCTGAACACATCTAAAGATGTGATGGATGGAAAATGAGCTCAGTTCATTTTCTATGAGGAGAAAGTGGAAGAAAAGGCTAAATATTTCAAAAAGCTAAAATTGCACAACACCAAAAGTCATAGCAGGATGGTCCTGAACAAGTTGAACGTTTTGATTTATGATTTATGGAAATGGCCAAAAAAAAAAAAAAACTGGAACGAGAAATATGTTGAAAAACAAACAGAAGAAAAATTGATCTCAACTGTGTGAATGCTTCATAAACATTCACACAATAATTTATGCTTTCCCTATATTAGTAACAATTCCTGTTTAGTAAATGAAACAAGACTTAGACAGTTTAATATTAATTTTAGATTGTTATAATTTTCCTGCTAAATCTGACCGTGTCTTTCGTTCTTATCTTTATAATCTGGTCAAGTTGTTAGATCTGCGTGTTTTACTCAGGCACATTTACCGTTTGTTAAACCGGAGGAGCTGCAGAATAAAGCTCTGAGTCAGGGCTGCCTGGACGTGTTGCTCCACTCCGCTGTGGGAACAGTAAACAAAATGGTGTACAACACCGGGCTGGTTACGGATGTGCCTGATTTTTAATCAATTTAGCACTCTGGTGGGGTCGAGGCAGATTAATAAAAAAATGACAGTAATCAGCCTAATGAATTAAGCTCACAGTCGATCAGTATGAACCAGTTTGCTTACTGTTTTGTAATGTGGAAGGTCTTTAATAAAACTAAAACGCTAAATGTTCCTGGTTTAGCTTTTTGAAGGCAGAGCCTTTGAGCTGGTTTGTGTGTTGAAATATCTGAGGAGCTGGGATTTGGTTCTACCTGTCATTGTTCCCACTGTACAGCTATATTTAGCGTGTGAGTGCTGCTCTCCTGGATATGTGTGTAATTTCTGACACGGCTCTGCCTCGCAGGACGACCGGCTCCGGACGCCGCTGCTGAAGCTGAAGCTGGCCGTGTGCAGCGTGATGCCGGAGCAGGTCGCTCGCTACAACATGGACTGCATCGCCAAAGTGGCAAAGTAAGAAACCAGCTCTTATTTTAATAGTTAAACGTTTTTGTGGCGCTTGAACCACGTGATGCCTCCTCGCCTCACAGGCAGCAGTCTGAGGAAGGAGACAAAAATGGGTCAGAAGATGACGATGAGGAGAAACCAGGAAAGAGGGTGATGGGGCCTCGGAAGAAGTTTGTGTGGGACGACAAGCTCAGGTTGGAGGTTTTTAGATGCTGGACTAGTAACAAAAATAAACAGGTGGGACTCATTATGCTGTGATTTCCTTCACGTTTATGTGTTTGCAGGTTATTGCTGTGTAACTTGGTGCAGGTGAAGCTCGGCTGCTACGAGCTGGAGGGCAAGAACACGCTGTCTCTGGAAGAGTACCTGAAAGCCTTCATGGAGACGGAGGTGAAACCTCTGTGGCCGAAGGGCTGGATGCAGGCCAGGTGTGTGGGGCACGCTGAGGTCATGTAGAGGAACTCCTTTTTGTCCCCATCATGGAGCAAAGAGGGGGAATTGGAAATTCCCTCTAGCTGTTGGTGCATGTTGTGAGCATACGGTAGTCCCTCGTTTATTGCGGGGGGTTGCGTTCAAGGCCCCCCTGCAATAAGTGAAAACCTGCGAAGAAGAGATGTCACATTTATTTTAGTATGAATTTATATTTTAAGACTTTATAACCCTTACCCACACTCTTGCAATGTTCGGAACTCTTCAACCCATATCATTTTAACAACATCCATGTATGTAGCTGTGGACTACCTGCAGGTTCTGGCTGGCTCTGGCTCGGGGTAGTGGAGAGAGGTCGGACCTACAGCAGTGCGTCCCCCACTCTGAAGTCCTTGTGGGCCAGCTACCAGTTTTCAGATTCGTCAGTGGGTCTGGAGGTCCAGTTCTGCTCCAGTTCTGTGTAATCCTTGAGCGCCAAAGCACTTTTTGTGCGCGTGTGTGTGTGTGTGTGTGTGTGTGTGGGGGGGGGGGGGGGTTCAGCTGGCCAACACGGGACCACATTGAGTCCAAATCTGGTTGGAAAAAAGTCCCAGTGGGCTCCAGAGAAGCCAGACCTACGACAGCGCGTCCCCGCTCAGAAGTCCTTGTGGGCCGACTAACAGCTCTCAGATTCGCCAATGGGTCCAGGGGGTCCAGTTCTGATCCGGTCCGGACCAGAACTGGACCCCCTGGACCGTCCAGTTCCATGCGGTTCTGAATTAGCTGGGTGCTGAAGTGACTAATAAGAACCAAACTTTTTCAGATCAGATCAAAACTTTCCCTCTACATATTTAAGCAGAAGGCAACGGGGCTTCTGGGCGGGGCCCTGTTGGCTTCTGGGAAATGTAGTCCTTATGAATGGTGATACAGTGTAGGCTTACTGAGAGAAAACTAGAAAATGGCAGCGCCTGTCTGAAATATTTTATTTTCGTTAAGTTTTTACTGTACAGTATCCCGTACTGTCCCAATCACGTGAGTAATATTAAAGTTGACAATCGTGTGTAATTTTTTTATTTGTATTTTTTAAATGTGTTAATGTGCGTTGACAAACTGCAATGTAACAAGTTTGTGAAAGTCGAACCGCGAAGTAGCGAGGGACTACTGTATGTACGAACTGACCACTCCTATCATTTGAGTAAACTATGCTTTCTAGTTTTTATGTTGCGTAAAAATATAGTTTCCTCTAACACACAGTAGTCCCTCACTACGTCGCAGTTCGACTTTCGCCGACTTGCTCTATCGCGGTTTTTCAACGCAAGATTGTACACGACACTCGACTGGCGATGGGGAAAGACAGACCCCATCCCCCACCCCCTCCTTTCTCTTTCTGAGGTTGTCGCAGCAGAGAAGGAGAAAGGAGGGGGTGAGGTCTGTCTTTCCCCATCGTGTCTCAGAGACGCACAACAGGCGAGCAAGCAACAGACAGTCTCAGAAAAAGAAAGGAGGCGGGGGAGGGGGTCTTTCCTATACCTGATTGAGCCGCACAAGTGGCATGGGTTGTTTAAATCTAGCGCGACCTGAACCGAGCCTTTAGGAACGAGACCAGGATCAAGAATGCTGGGTATTTCAGGCATGAGGCGATTAGACAATCTGGCAGGGAGGCAGAGACTGGGGAGGCGCAGCACACTGGTGCAGCAGGGGGAAGACTGAGGTGACACCGGTGATGAGCATAAGTGTGGTTGTGGTGGAGAAGTGGGCGTGGCGGAGATCATGACAGGCTGTGCTCTTTTAGAGCGTTTAGAACATTGCAAGAGTGGGAAGGGTTCATGAAGCCTTAAAATTTATACAGTAGTCCCTCATTTATCACAGGTGTTGGGGACCACACCCACTCGCAATAAGTGAAAACCCACGAAGTAGGGATACAGTAGTTCAAGTTCAGTAAACTTTGTCATGACGTGCCAGGCTGTAATCACACTCATCACCTGTTACTCCCAATCTCCCTCCTTAAATAAACAATTTAAATTTAAATACTGTAACATTTTAAGTAAACAATCCATGCAGCATGGATTGTTTACTTAAAATGTTACAGTATTTAAATTGTAGAGAAGTGCAGCAGGACATCAAAGGATGTCACGCAGCTTCAGCTCTGCAGCACGGAGCAGAAATGTACTTCTTGATCGATTACACTGAAACAACTGAACGTAGAAGTGCTAAAATAATAAAAAATAACTTTTAACACTTTTATATTTAGTGATTATGATGATTTTTACAATGTGACATACTTTGAATTTTAATTTGGAAGACAAAAGTCGATCTGTGCATCTGGACAGCAAAGGGTTAACTCTTCACAAAGCTGCAGCTGGAGAAACGTGTGTTGCAGAGAAGGAGATCAGCTGATCGGAGCTTTCTCCTGCACTTGTGGGCTGCACACGTTGCGCTTGTTACACGTCACCACCGACATGGGCCGGTGTTGTGCCAAAAATCGATTGGCTGCTAAATGACGGCAGAGGGAGCGTGCACTGGAGAATTTTAACAAGAATTTAACTAGATTAACTCTTAAAAACAATTATTTGTTTGCTCGACATTATAGTAAATGTGTGTCTCAGTTGAACTTTTACTTAATAAATGCACTTTGATGGTCAAATCAGCTGCATTTCACCGGGGCGGTGCAGGGAAATCAAGCTGATTTGACGGCAAACAACGGTGCAAGTCAATGGCAAGCCGATTGTGTCATTAATAGCCACTTTAATCTATTACATAATACAACGGTGTGCCATACTACTCGACTGCCATCTAGTGCCTGAAAGAGGTAGTGTACAATATTTTCTGTCCGAATGAATGAAAAGGGTCATATCAGTCAAAAATTGATTTATAAATATGGGGGAAAAAGTCCATAAATATGTGGCTTCCGCGTATAAGTCGCAGGGCATGCAAATTATACAAATAATTGCGACTTATAGTGAAAACAATACAGTAAATACTAAAATAAATGTCCCTACTTCACAGTTTTTCACCTTTCGCGGGGGTGTCTGGAACTTGACCCTCGTGATAATCAAGGAACTACTGTATATAATGTTTTATGTGTATACATGTTTATTTTTCCTCCCTCTCTTTTGTGTTTGTTTTCCTTCTTTCCCTTCAGCGGCTGTCGTGACACTAAAAGAATTTGAAACCATAAAATCCTGCGTATGTTTGGCTGTTTGTCAAACGTCCCTTTTAAGTCACGTCTGGTTGAATTGGTTGCCAGCTCGACTGTTGATGTCTGAAAAGAAGAAATCCTTGAGTTACAGAGGTTTCAAAATAATTTCTAGTGTTTACAATTTTTTTTTTTTAATTGAAATGTATGTGTTAAAGATAAAGTGTCTATTTCTAAATCAGGTTCTTTGGGAAATTTTGTAAACAGTGAGCATCTTACTTGTCGTAGATGTCTCTAAACAACCTCAGTTTGAACACGGCTGATGAGCTAACAGCTAGTCAACTCAAACCCACAAAATATTCTAGCAGAAACACTATTTTATAAACTTTTACACTGCCTTTAATTTAGCATTATGCAGTTATTTACATAAGATTTCAGGGCAAATACCAGTGGCAGCAGCTAGCTGTAGCACTTCCAGTGCAATCTGGTAACCCTCCAGGAGGAAGTTCATATTTCTGCTGTAATATTTGTGGAATATATGTTTTTCTAAAAAATGTTTTGCATTAAATATTAAAAAGTTTTGAATGTTAGCATTATTTAAAGCAGGCAGAAATCACAAAAGAGGATGTGATACAACTAGCTGCTGTCGCTACTCTTTGGGCATGCAAATAACCAAAGAATTAATTGTAAATATAAATAACTCTAATGCAAAATGTAAAGCAGTGTGGAGGTTTATAACATGGCGTTCACATTAACCGTTATGAAACTTGACTCCAATTTTATTTTTTATTTTTCTCCACACTGAGGTTGTTCAGAGTCATCTACAGGTAACGCTGTAATTGTGTGTAACTTTTCCACAGAAACTTGCTTCATAATATTTGAACTTTTCCTTTAATATCTTGAGATAACATTATCACAAAAAAACAAGTTTTGTTTGCACAAAATATTGAAACAACTTATCTTAAGATGAGGTGAAAATTAAGTTTTCCCCTTGGCCTCCATAAATGACAGAATCCACAACAGCAGAACAAATAGTGTGTCACAATAAAAGCACAAATTACGTCCACATTAAATAATTTTGAACTTGTGTTTGTTTAATTTTTAAGAATGCTGTTCAAAGAGAGCATCATGGTTCACGGTCATCTAACAGGCTACACGTGAGTCATGTTGCGTCGTAAAACCTGATTTTGCATCAATATGTTTAAAACTTGCTCCTGATTCGTTTGCTTTGTTGGTTTGCTCCAGAGCAAAGAAAAAGATGTTTCCAACAAAACCCAAGCCAAAGGTTGGTGAAATGTATTTTACTTTATGTTGAACTGAAGGCAGTTGGACTTGTTTATTTAAAATGATTTTTAAAGTTGTTTCACGTCTCATCCGATGAGCTTTCGGAAATGACAGATTAAGTCCAGTTTCCTCTAATCCAACAAGTCTGAATCAAAGCTGTTTTATTAAACTAAACTTAAATCTTTCAACTTGCTGAACTTGTTTACTACTCGGAATAAACAAAGGTATTTCTCAGAACCAATGCTGATGTTTCCTCTGTTCTTCCAGGAGGTAGCGTGGGTTCAGCGACCGGCACCTTCAGTGGGTGCCACCCCCTCCCCTGCTGCTCCAGTTGCCAAGCGACCTCCACTGTCACCGTCTGAGCCCATATGTCTCGGCTCTCTCGATGACTCTCCCGCCTTCGACTCCATCTCTCAGGCTCTGGCCATCCTTGGTAACGCAGCCAAGGGCCTGGCTCAGGGAGACAGCCCCCCGTCCCCGGACAGAACCAAGACTGCGACCAACTCTCCCAGCCTCCACGCCTCGGCTCTCCTCCAGCAGCAGAAAAAGAACTCAGTCTGTGCTCCCATCTCCAACACATCTCACTACATCTCTACCTCTTCATCCTCCTCCCCTTCTCTAGCTCGGCCGGTCCCCAACGTGTCCTCCCCTTCTCTGTCACGACCGGCCCTTGTGTCCTCCTCTCCTTTGTCTCGACCAGCAATTGTGTCCTCCTCTCCCTCTTTGTCTCGACCGGCCACTGTGTCCTCCTCTCTATCTCGGTCGGCCCCTGTGTCCTCCTCTCCCACTCTGTCTCGAGCAACCCCTGTGTCCTCCTCTCCCTCTTTGTCTCGAGCAACCCCTGTGTCCTCTCCCTCTTTGTCTCGGACAGTCGTGTCCTCCTCTCTGTCTCGGACAATCCCTGTGTCCTCCTCTCCCTCTCTGTCTCGGACAGTCCCTGTGTCCTCCTCTCCCTCTCTGTCTCGGACAGTCCCTGTGTCCTCCTCTCCCTCTCTGTCTCGGACAGCCCCTGTGTCCTCCGCTCCCTCTCTGTCTCGAGCAACCACTGTGTCCTCCTCTCCCTCTTTGTCTCGAGCAACCACTGTGTCCTCCTCTCCCTCTCTGTCTCGGCCGGCCCTTGTGTCCTCCTCTCCTTCCCTGTCTCGGGCAGGCCCTGTGTCCTCCTCTCCCTCTCTGTCTCGGGCAGGCCCTGTGTCCTCCTCTCCCTCCCTGTCTCGGGCGGCCCCCAATACGTCGTCCTCTCTGACCTCAGTTAGGCCGGATGGCATGGGGACTGTGAAGGTAACGGTGCAGACTCAAAGACACTCTGTTCTGGGCACTCAGAGACCTTCGGGCGTGGGTGTGACAAAAACAAGCACACCTGTCGCTGTATCCCCTCCTAAGCCACGCCCCCCACCCACAGCATCTCCGTTAGTGCCCCCAGGATCAAAGATGGGAGCCTCCACTCCCTTTTCTGTCCTTGTCAAAGGCAGCAATACTAAAGCCAACGATGATGACGCCCTCATCGTCACCTCACCTCAGACTCGACCACACAGCCTTGCGTCAATCCCACTAATAGTCCACAAAACCTTTCAGGCTTCTCGCCTTGCCCAGACCTCGCAAAGTAAACCGAACCCCTCCACCCAGACGCTCACTGGTGGTCAGACGCAGCCGCAGTCTAACTTCATTACTCCTATGCATGCTACCCTCACCAAATCCACCCACAGCAGCATCCCTCCCATCATCAAACTCACCCCCCGAACCCCCAACCCAATCGTCACCACTACCAGCTCCTCTCCGTCACCTTCAGTTTCTCAGAGTCCTCGCTCTCAGGCAGCCCCCTCCGTACACCAGTACACTCCCAAAACCCCCACTGGCTTCAGGCCCTCGTTCTCAGGTGTCTCAGGAGGAGCGACAGTAGCCAAGACGGGTCAGTGCAGCTACACTCCTCCAAGCAGCCAGAAGACCCCTACCATTAACAGCACTACCAACACCAGCCTTATAAATACTTCATCTGTAAGCAAGCATTCAGGAACCAGTGCCTCCCCTGCAGCGGCTTCTGCTACCTCAGGCCAGCGTCAGAGGACTGGAGGTGGGACTCCTCAGGGGGCAAAGACGGTCGTGTCTGTTCCACAGGTTGGTTTGGACAGATTACTAACTCATAGTAGTTTTGTTGTAAAACTCATAGTTTTGATTTGCTCGTGGACACATGTTCAGTATACGTTGGCATACCTTATGAGTTTACCTGCTTCATGGACGACTCATGTTTTCCAGTAAAAAGACCCAAGTTTTCTTTACTAAAATCAGCTAAATGATTATTGTGCTCAGCAGTCAACCCTTAATTTGTTCCATCAAACCAGCTCTTCATTTGTTTACTGAAGAACGACTCAAAACAGAGGTCTAGTGGCCTGTAGAGATTCCCGTCTTGTTTTCCAGAGGGTAATGTGTGCCATTTTGCATCAAACTTTGATTAATTTCAGTAAATCTTGATATATTTTTCTCGCAGGCCCTAATGCTGGAGTAACGCTGAGTATGACAACATGCTTGACTCACCTTTCTCGTGCCGAGGAAGTGACTCTTGTTTGGCACCTTCCAAATGGCTTTGTAGATTAGGCCTCCACACAGAAAGCCAACCCTTCTACACGCTTCATAGTACATTAGAATGTGGATGAAAAATGTTTTCTGCATCTCCTGCACTAACTTTTTCTCCCACCCTGGCAAAGCTCCTAAATGTTTTTGTCATGTTTGATACAGCCATGAGTACCACAGTTGTTAGGTTGTTTCCATGACCTCGTCATAATCGTAGTCTAGGAATGAGGTCAGCATGCCAGTCCTGCTTGAAAATCTTAAGGACCAAACCACATGAGACATGCAGGCTCCATCATGCTCAAACGCCATTATAAACCACCATGACCTCGCTATTGGAGTTTCATGTATGTTAAAAACAATTAAGAGACTCTGTTGGCTCTGAGGAGATTCTGGCAAACCATCAGGCAGCTAAGGAGGGGAAAGCAGGTTTTTACTAACACTGTTACAGTGAAGGACAAAGTGCAGCCCACAGACCCCTATGATGAGCAAAATGAATGTTAATCAATGTTCCCTCGCCCAGACGTGGGTCACCAGGGCCCCACTCTGGAGCTGGGCCTGGAGGTGGGGCATGCTGGCAAGCACCTGGTGGCCAGGCTTTTACCCATGGAGCCCGACGGGGCACAGCCCGAAGAGGAGACGTGGGTCCCCCTTCCCATAGGCTCACCACCTGTGGGAGGGGCCAAAGGGGTTGGGTGGAATGGGTGGTGGCTGAGGGCGGGGACCTTGGCTGTCTGATTCTTGGCTACAGCAGCTGGCTCTTGGGACGTGGAACGTCACCTCTCTGGTGGGGAAGGAGCCTGAGCTGGTGTGTGAGTTTAAAAGATTCCAGCTAGAAATAGTCTGACTCACTTCGTCGCATAGCTCTGGAACCAGTTTTCTTTAGAGGGGTTGGACACTCTTCCACTCTGGAGTTGCCCCTGATGAGAGGCGTTGAGCAGGAGTGGGCATACTTGTTGCCCCCCATCTTGGCGTCTATATGTTGGGGTTCACCCCGGTGAGTGAGAAGGCAGCCTCCCTCCGTGTACGTGTGGGGGGACAGGTTATGACTGTTTGTGCTTATGCACCAAACAGCAGTTCAGATTACCCACCCTTTTTGGTGTCTTTGGAGTGGGTACTGGAGAGTGCGCCTCCTGGGGACTCCCATGTTCTGCTGGGGGACTTTAACGCTTACGTGGGCAAGGACAGTGAGACCTGGAGGGGTATGGTTGGTAGGAACGGCCCACCTGATCTGAACCAGAGTGGTGTTCTGTTATTGGACTTCTGTGCTCATCATGGATTGTCCATAACGAACACCATGTTCAGGCATAAGGGTGTCCATATGGGCTCTTGGCACCAAGACACCCTAGGCCGCAGTTCAATGATAGACTTTGTTGTCATCTCATCTGATCTGCGGCCGCATGTTTTGACACTCGGGTGAAAAGAGGGGCGGAGCTGTCCACTGACCACTACCTGGTGATGAGTTGGCTCCGATGGTGGGGGAGGATGCCTCTCAGACTTGGCAGGCCCAAACATATTGTGAGGATCTGCTGGGAACGTCTGGCAGAGTCTCCCATGAGACAGAGCTTTAACTCCCACCTCGGGGAGAAGTTCAAACACGTTCTGGGAGAGGTGGGGGACATTGAGTCCGAGTGGGCCATGTTCCGCAGCTCTAATGTTGAGGCAGCTTATCGGATCTGTGGCCACAAGGCTGTCGGTACCTGTTGCAGTGGCAATCCTCAAACCCGGTGGTAGACACTGGCGGTGAGGGATGCTGTCAGGCTGAAGGAGTCCCATCGGGCCTTTTTTGCCTGTGGGACCCCAGAAGCAGCTGATGGGTACCGGCAGTCCAAGCGGTGGTTGCTGAGGCAAAAACTCGGGCGTGGGAGGAGTTCTGAGAGGCCATGGAGAATGACTTCCGTACGGCTTCGAGGCGATTCTGATCCGCCATCCCGTGGGGGGTGGAGAAGTACACCACCAACACTGTTTATAGTGGAGGTGGTGTGCTGCTGACCTCAACTTGTGATGTCGTGGGTCAGTGGGCTGAGTACTTCAAATACCTCAATCCCACCAGCATGTCTTCCACTGAGGAAGCGGAGCCTGGGAACTTTCGGCCGGGCTTGCCAATCTCTGGTGCTGAGGTCACCGAGGTGGTTAAAAAGCTCCTCGGTGGCAGGGCTCCAGGAGTGGATGAGATTTGCCTCAAGTTCTTTAAGGCTCTGGATGTTGTGGGGTTGTATTGGCTTACAAGACTCTGCAATATTGCGTGGACATCGGGACAGTTCCCCTGGATTGGCAAACCAGGGTGGTGGTCCCCTATTCAAAAAGGGGGACCATAGAGTATGTTCTAACTA